CTTGAACTACATCCATGGTGACAGTCCATATAGAGAAAATACATACATTTGGCAGTCACACAGTTTCCAATAAAGCGTGCGTTGCTTTATGTTCCTTTTGAGCACAACTCAGGAAGGACACTTTCAGTGCTAGGACTCTGCAGAGTGGAGCGTCTCTCCATGTGTCTTTGCCGCTAGGACATTCTGTGAAGTGGCTTCACCCGTGTGGGGTCTGTTCCCAAAACATTTCTTCTGTCTGTCCCTACCCTTCTCCAAAGAGCTGTTTCAGAAATGCGTTCACTTTCAAAATAAACATTTCACGCTTTACCATCTCTCCCTGTTAAGGAAAAATCATGGTGATTGCTAAAACAGTATGGCCTAAATTTTCTTTTAAAGCACCAAAGTCATATATAGACTTACAGACTTTATTTTACTTTAAGTTTTATTGTAGTTGACTTAAAAACAAGATATGTAGAAATATGGTTACTCTTTATGGGATTTTCATGCTGATATTTTTAACTGCTCAATTCAGACTGTAGTGGGAAGCTCTGTTCTCCTTTCTGCCTTCACAGTGAACCATTAGAAATGGTCACTTTAAAATTGGTGTTCACTTCTGGGTTTTCTTCTCCGAAGCCAGCTCTTTCTTGACAGATGAATGTGTAACGTTTGAGAAATCTCCAATGTGAATAAAAGGAAAATCGATGAAGAATCACTTGTGTGTGTGTGTGTAGACTGAGGAGCAGGAACGAGCAGTGCTTGAGGGAAGTGCATTTCAGGCTCCGCTTCTGAATTGTTCTCATTGTAACCACTTGGTTTTTGTCGTGGGATGACAGATCTTAAACACGCACGTCTGGTCTTGACCAATGACTAATTAAAATCAGGGTCCTCTAGTTATTCTGCAGGTCTGCACACTGAGATAGCAAAGCCCCACGTCACACTTTGGCACTGACAAGCCTAGGGAGTCATGCCGGGCTAGGCACGCGGCCCCGGCAAGCGCAGAGCATAGCAAGTGCGTAGCAACTTGTGATGCTACCCAGCACAGTCATTGTCACAGGGCGCAGAGCAGTAGCTGCCTCCCCAGCGTAACAGCAACACAACGTTATTTTTCCACGTTTATCAGCCTCCCTGGTGTCCAGACGTCACTGGACATTCATTGCCACAGCCACTGCAGGTTAAGACCCTGTGGCATCAGGGTAGCAGTCACTTGTAACAAAACCATCTGAGCCTGTAGACCCACTAGAAATGATGGCCCAGCGATTCACAGCCCCAGAGACCAAGGTGGGGCACTTTGCTCTTCCAGGTACAACTTACATTTTGGGAGGGTCTTACTTTGAAAATGTTTCCCTTATGTTGGTTTGTATTTTTGCCTGTTTTTGTTTTGTTGCTCTTGTTTCCTTTTGAGAAAAGAATCTGGTGACGTGCTCGCACTCCTAATCCATCGGGGCATTCCACGTGTGTTGCTGGGGTCAGAAAGGGAGCTGGTGGTCAGTGATGCTGCCTCTGGAAAGGGACCAGTGTCTTCTGAGGCTACTGTGGTCCCAGCGCTGATGGTCAGCCCAAGCGCACCAGCTTTCTGTCAGGAGCGTGGAAAGGCTCTCAGAGCAGCAGCACCGCCGTCCGTTGGAAAGCTTGGCTTCGTCAGAGAGGCCACCATCTTAGGTTACCTTGCAAAAAACAAATTGTCTCAATTTCCAAAATTCAACAGAGGGCACTGAAAGCTCTTTTTTAGTGTCATGCCCATCTTGCTTGTTCAAAATTACCAACAGTCTTGGCAGTAGTTTCTGAAGCAGTAGTGAACAGGATCTCTTCTGTGATGACGACAGGCTGGCTCTCGCCCCCACTTAGACAGGTGGCCAAGCGCTGTGCTCGCGGCCGCGCACGCCCCGCACTCCTGGGAAGGCTCGTTTCCCTCTCAGCCACGCCCCTGCTTGGACACGACCCAAGGGGCCCCCAGCACCCAGGGTGGACTGCTTTCTAGAAGCAAGTGTCCGGGAGCTGCCTTCACCCCTGCTGCCCCCTCTCCCTGGCGACTCACTGAGTGCCCCCAGGAAGCCCAGAGAAAAGCACTGCTCTGATCGTCACTTTCTACAATGGAAGAGAGAGTGGTAGACAATGGGCTGTTCTGTCTCACCGAGCGTTAGCCGTGTTAGAGGGCCCGTGCAGAGGAAGTGTAGGCTACTGGGCTGAAAGCAGGCTTGGGGAATTCTGTTTCTGCCACTTACTAGCTGTGTGTCTTCAGGCAAGTTATTTAATCTCTCTGATCCTTATTTTCTTTCTCTGTGTGTGAGCATAATGCCACCTTCCTTCCTCTAGGGATTTAAAAAATTAAATGTACCTGGAAATCATGCCAGGCATATTTATAAGTACTTAATAAGTTATTAATATTATTAGTAATTAGAGTCTCTGTGTTCATATGTAGAAACTGAAGCTCAGAAAGCCAAGGTGATTTTTCCCCCCAGATCCCAGTGACAGTGGCAGGTGGCACTAGTGACAGAATCAAGACCCCTGGCTTTTTAACTAGACCTTTAAAGCTATAGACATAGTTTAATTAAGGACCATTGTAACCAGCAACTGGCATCCACTACACAGACCTTTGCATCTTTAACTTTTTGTTATTTTAAGTCTATTTTTAAAACCTGTGTAATGTGCACTTTCATCATCTAATGGTGATTGAAGATGCGCTATGCAGACTTGAGGAGGAATAACAGAGCTGGGCCTTTGAGGTTACTTAATTTAATCATCTGCCTGGTGGGGTTTATATTCTGATTCTCTTTTTCCACCTTAGTTATAAACAAGTGTGCTTCAGGAACTATTAGTTTCATACACATGTTAGTTTCACCACATGTGAAACTAAATTTGGTGGAAACTTGAAAAAGGTGGACGTCTTTCAAGATGCCTGTTTACAATGATAAAAATACTCCATCAGTTCATTCATGTTTAGTAGCTGTCATGAGTTTATTTGTGCCTCTCAGGAGGCATACACACCTAGAAGAGCCAAGATATGCACATCAATTGTTTTAATATAAAAAGGGAAGTGCAGAAGCTATAAAGCTAACAAAAAAAAAAAAACTATAAAAGGCACAGAGCCTGGAAAAGGCCGCACTTCCAGGCTGGGGAATAAGGACAGCCTTCACAGAGGAGGTGGCCCTGAAACTGGACCTTGAAGGATGGGTCAGAGTTGGCTGAAACTTGAAAGCAGTCACTGACTTGGAAGTAGTCTCCACAAAACACAGCCTACACATAACTTAAGGATGTGATTTATCGGCTAAGAAATTGAGAGAACAGTCCCAACAGATGCTTCTTGTTTTCTTTTGAAACAGTTACGTAAATGCTGACTTTCTTCTGTTTGAATGAAAACACCTCAGAAGGGAACCTAAGACATTGAAGTTAATGCCAGCAGTCTGCATGCTGATGTAAAGACACTAACTGTATAGGAATATGTTCATAGCCGCTGGGCGGTGTTTTATAAGTACTGGATGACCTAGACGTTAATCAGAAGCCTCAGGGTCGTCTCAGGCCCACAGTCTCTAGTAACTGAAAGGGGGACTTGGGTGAGCTGAGGATTCACTCCTTCCTCCCAGAGCCACACTTACACCATTAGCCTTTCAGCTTCTAGAATGTTCTTTCCAAGCCATCATAAGTGTTAGCTTGCATAGAATTTCCTTAAATGGTTTGTATAATATTTAAAAGAAAGAAAAAAACCACTCAAACCTTTGATACTTTGAATTTTCAAACAGCTGATGTTTGAACTTCTACCAGCCAGAAAGTTGTACCCACTGAAAATAGCTACACATAAAGAATAGTATAATTTTAATGACTTGTGCTAATTTTTAAAGAATTTCTCTAAAAATGTTTACTATTATGCAATAAGAGCCACCAAATGACAGTTTAATGGAGGTGGAGGGAGCTGTAATCATAATTAATTTGGAACAGAAAAGCAAAGTATATGGATTTTTACCCCTCCCATTAGCTTTACTCCAAAAGTAAAACGTTAGTAGCCAAAACTTTGAAACATTCTTTTTTTTAAGTGTACTATTTACATAAGAAAAGTTTGATTTGACTACAACAGTGAAGTCTTTGCAGGATTTTGCCACATTGCCATCATCTTTCTTCTTGTGTTGTAATTTTCCTGGGAGAATTAAACCACAGCATCTTTTAAACCTCTGTCCCCCCTTCCCTGGTCTCATTACCAGAAGTTAGAAAAATGACACTGTGACAGTTGTCTCCTTCAGATCAAAGAATACTCTTTTCCTCTTTGCAAGAGTGAAGAGAAGTTTGTCTTTAACAGAACGTAGGCACAAAACTAAGTCACCAGAAAAATGTCTGCACAGGCGTGGAGCAGGGGGGACTCAGAGCCTATTAGGGACAATGACAGCCCATCTGAGCTCCCCTTCCCTCCTGTTACAGGAGAAACCCTACAGAAAGAAGTGGAAGTCTGATGTTTGCTGTGTAATTTTAATATAGGAAAGTTAGTGTGTTTTTAATAGCACCTAATTGCAGAATGTTAAATAAGGTTGAAGCGAGTTTGGGAAATGCTTTCTCCCATATTCATTATATCAGAAAATTCAGGTCAAAGAAAAAAATTTTTTAAACACAACATTCCCACACTGCCAATTTGTTTTTCATTTCTTGACTTTTGGTTTTTGATGTGAGGATATTAATGTTAATAGAGGCAGACCTTTTAAAATGTTAGAAATTAATTTTGCTTGCTTTTGTAATTCCTGTTCTTATTTCAAGCACCCCCTACCTTGCTTATATTCCTCCATATAAATTATTACCTGGAACACCTGACATGATTATTTGTGAAACTTGTTATTATTTAGAATTTTTACACAGTGTATTAAATAATTACTTAGCAATAGAGTTCAGCCTCTCTCTCCAGGAAATTATTTTAAGGGAACATGAAAGAATGGCCCCACCCCTTGCATAAATGACTGCCATGGTGAGAAATGACGGCCAGGGTGAACCGCCGTGGCTGTGCGTGGTCAGTGTATGTACGCCTGTGCTTTCTCTTCATATAGGCAAGGCGGCTTTCCCGGCATGAATCAGAGTGGACTCATGGCTTCCAGCTCTCCCTACAGCCAGCCCATGAACAACAGCTCTGGGCTGATGAACACCCAGGCGCCCGCCTACAGCATGACGCCCAATATGGTGAACAGCTCAACAGGTAACGTTGGCAGCTCCGTGCTTCTGAGGGCTGCCCTCCCCCTCCCCTCTTCGCCCCTCAGGCTCACAGCACTGAGAGGACACAAGCAACTCGGATCATTTGGTGAAAAGGGGGGCAATTCTGCTTCTCTGCTGCTTGGACACTTGCTCTATTGATTAAGACTTATGGGTTCCATTACATTTTATGTGAATTATTTTTATTCATTCTGTGTTTGTGTGATATGTCGATGTATTTGAAGTGTTACTGGAGATTGCTCTCTAAGTATATACACCGAGCTCTTTTTATCTTTGGGCACTATTAGGGGTATTGGAAGACCCCATGACAAAGTCTACTCCATTTGGTAGTGGTGGAGATAAACATACAAAATTCACATTTCAAGAGGGTGGGTGTAGCTCAGTGGTAGAATGAATGCTTAGCATGCACAGGGTCCTGTGTTCAATCCCCCAAATCTCAATTAAAAAAAAATTTTTAATAAAAAAATTCATATTTCAGAGGAAATGATTGAAAGGCAAAACAAAGGGGTGTTTGAAATAGTTTTTTTTTTTCCATTTAAAGGGAAACTCACCTTTAAATGGATACATGAACCTAGTTGTTCTCTACTGAGAAATTACATATTTTTTAATGGATTGTTTTAAATTTTTCACGATGCTTAATTTTTTTTCAGCACATTTTATGATCTCAACAATTGCATTCTTACCAAATCCCGTCTGACTGGTACCGTAAGAGTATTCTGTCCATTTGTGGAAATAAAAAGAATGTCTAAAACTGCACATATTCCACGTTCTTAGAGTCCTGACCCGCCTCCTTACCAGCCCTCTAACCACCTCGCGGTGATGAGTGCTGCTCTTTAAATGAGAACGTGCTGACGTAGTTCACCTGACCTGTTAACTTTTTCTAGCACCGACATTTTGGGTAGGATTCCCTCCTTTAGTTAATACAGAGCTTTGCACAGCCAGCTGTTTGTGCTTTACGACGTGTCAGAAGAACGTGCAGTTAGAGGCCGGGCTCCTTCTTACTCCCTTTTTTCATTTCCTCTGCCTTTTACCACCTCCCTGACCTCTCCGTCTTTGAAAAGCCACCCCAGAAGCAGCAGTTTCTTTGTCAGGAAGGACAGACAGCTAGAGGCTAGGCCTGCATCCTATCTGAGCTTCTACATTATTGGTTTCTAGGGTCTAATTTAATAGTGCCACTCCCTCTTTAAAAAGTTTGCAGAAGAGTTAAAAATAAAAACTACTGGTGAAAATGAAGCGTTTTAAATAAATAAAAAAATGAAACAGCCCTTCCTGACGTTGAGCAGGCAGTCATTGATCCCAGCGAGGTGGATGCTTTCACACTTGAAACGAAAAGTGGCAGGCTCTAGAACAGTCTGTTAGCTGGAAGCTTCCCCTTCCCTTCCCAGCACTGTCCCAGGTAATGGGGTATTTGGGTTATGACGTGATGTGTTTTGTCTGGCTTGCTGAAATAAGATTACTTCAGAGCTTTGAAACTACACAATAAATTTTCACCCACTATTAGCAATACTCATTTTTCCCTTTTTTCCTTTGGACCCCAGAGCCACAAAAATAACCAACAAATAGATGCCTTGCCTAAGAAGATTTATGTATTCCTAAGGAACAACCAATTTAATGGAGATTCACAGAGACGATTTCTTTTTATTATTATTATTCAGATAATTCAGCTATTCGTTATTTCATACAGAGGAAGTCTGTTCAATGAAAGGCCATTTATCCTCACAGTCTTTTTGTACAGGCTAGTAGTATATTTTTTATTGCATTGTGCATTTTGAAATATTGAATTTTTAATCATTTAAACATTTATCAAATTTTCCTCTCCACATTTATATGATTTTATTCCAGCTTTATTAAGTCAAATGCTACCTAATAGAAAGTAATCATCCAGCACATCTAAGAAATATTGACGATTTAGCATTTACTGTGTATCCATTGATAGGTACATGTGAATCTGCTATAACTGGGTTATAGTCTCGGAGGAAAATAAGAATGACAAAGGAACCCAGAATGTTACAGCGTAGTTCCTGATGAGAGTTGTGGTCTGAAGGTCTACACCTGCCTTTCCTAGAGACGGGCCAGAAATGGCTCAGATCATCATCACGTCAGTCTGCTTGGGTTGGGCCCATGGAGATATATTACCAGTGAAAACAGCAAAGCATTTTCTCCAACAAAGGACACTTTTGGAGAAAGTGCAGACAGTACAAATGATGGCCAGAGCTAGCAGTGGGGTTTTATGAACCTCAGTTAGCAGCTTATGCAACTGGCGTTCCAGTATCCTCTTTGCTGGGTCAAACAGTTGCGCTGTAGACAGTGTGTAGGACCAAAAAAAGTCCTCCTGTGTAGTGACAAATCGTTACAAGCCTCAGTGAGCAAGTAATTATTTAAATGGAGTCAGTATGCGTGTGAATATGCCAGCTCTTTCTTCACGTCAAGTGCAGCGGGAAGTGGGGTGGTAAGCAGTGGGGACTGTTCCCCTCTGAAGGAGATTTTTTTAAAAATTATTTGAATTAAAAGATTGGAATCGTGTTTTACCATGGGCAAAATTATAAATTATGTACAACTTTGTTAAATATTCCCTTATATAATACTTGTGTTGTTAGTTACATTGTACTTATTTGTGTATTATTTTATAATATTCATTAGTCATATAATTATCTGAGTGTAAACCATCACCTTAAAGAAGACATCTAAATTCCAGAAAATTTATCCACCATCTGTGTTTCTAAGTTTGTCTCACCAGAAGTTGCACTGTACAAAGTGCAGGGCATTTCCATCCAAGTAACCTACAGATTGTAAATGAGCAGCCCTGTGCCGCCGTGGCCAGGCACTGCCACCTCAGAGGTAGGTCAGCACAGGGAAGTTTCAGGGGATTCTTGATCCAGCCAGAGACAAGTGTTTGTCCTGGGCTTTTCTCATATCCTTTGTATGCATTAGTATTCTTTATATATTGCCATATATAAATATAGTCATGAATATCTACAGATATAGATACATAGATAGACCCTTTTGTGTTTTCAAAACCAAGGAGTACAATATTTTGCAGAGTATAGTATTTTATTTACCATGAAAAGAAAAGAACTATTTGTGGGTTTCTGGTCCTATTTTACCGTCTTCTGGGAGTGACTTTGCAGCCTTGCAGGGAGACTGAGCTAAGGAAGCTGGGAGAGTAAGAGTGATGTTTAAGTTCAGTTTTACTCACACCATATGTTCTTTACGTTCTTTTTGAATACATCAAATCCAGGGTGGAATAGCTGCCTTAGGACCTTGACCCACACTTACTTTAAGAAATCATTCTAGCTCTTAAATTCCAATGGTGAAGCCAGAGGCTAGTACTTGAAATGTATTTACAGTGCTCACATAGCACTTTCTGCAGTCACAGATTCTTTACTGCCCCTTTTTATGTCTGAACTTTACATACTGGATTACTGATGTCAACAGGAGAAAGAGCAGCGCCTTGATTTAACACATCCTCGTAGTAGTGGTGGTCTTTCTTTTCTGGGAAAGGAGGAAAAAGTAGTGCCCTGGGAGGCCTGTGGCTCTTTGCAGTGATTCATTGAGAATTCTGGTAAGAAGTCAAAAATAAGCATTTCAACAAAAGGGATAGTAGAAGCCACAGTAAGGAAAGACCTTATGAACCAGTTAGTAAAATAAAACTTACTCTGTAGGCAGGACTGTTAAATAAAAATGTTACTCTATATTCTATCCCTACTTACCTCTCAAAATAAGAAAGCAGTGTAACTTTAGAAGTACTTACGTTTACATACCCCAGATGTCCATTTTTTAATATACAATAGAAAATGAAGAAGTTTGAGGAATTTCAAGCCAACATATGTATACTTATAATCATCTGAGTGTGATTTTTAAATCACTGTAAATTATCGTTAATTATCATAATACAATATTGACCAAGTTCTGTATGCTTAAAAATCGCTTTTGTGTACAAGGACACATTTAATGCCTGAAGGAATTACTACGAAATTACTGTTTCCTATTTCTCAAAAATAATACTCAGGCATAATGTATCGTAAACACTGACAAACTACATTATGACCGTAGGAGGCGCACGACTTAACCGAAGACGTGTGTCCATGACTTTGCCCCTTTCTCAGGAATTGTGTGGCTGTCGTTCCTTTGAACCATCCCTGTGAATAACTAGCGAGGACATGGGGGCTTTCATAAAGAAGCCCCTATTTCCACACTCATCCTGCTATTTTTCCCTTCTGTTCATCTAAAAAGGATGTTTCTTAATGTACAGATTTACTAATTCGTATCTTGCTAGACCTGAGAGGTAAAACTGCACAGAAGCAATCCACTACTTTGCACGAGGCTGTCTTCTTGGTGTAATATCTCTCAGCTGCTTTTTTGAGGTTTCACACATTCACAAAAATAACAGCATTTTTAGCTGATCCCAATAGATTTTTCTCTGCAGCTGCATCACTTGAAAAAGCTTTTTGTTCCAGTTCTTAAAGTCTAAGTATTGAAAGTAATTTGAAAAAAAAAAGAAAAGAAAAACATCCCAATTATGATTTGTGTGTGTGGTGATGACTTCAAGGGCTGACTGGGCTGCAAATGGGCTTTGAAAAACGAGCCAATGTGCCCATGGAAAATACAGGCGTTTCAAAGTGCATCATTGAGTGTGCTGATGTAAACTCATGGGCACGTGGCGGGGTAGGCTTTTTTGGCAGGACCTCTGGTCTCAACCTGCAGTGATGCTAACGATATTAGCAAATTAGCACCACAAAGCTTGCCAGCTAATTCGCCAGAGCCCTGCTCACTCTCTCACTGCAGTAATTAAAACTAATTATTTTCTAAAACATAGTAATACACGAATATATGCAATAATCATTTTGTAGTGGGCAATCTGTGGAGCCTTTTTTTAAAGCTTTTTTTTTCCTGGCACGTTACGCTACATGTGTGCTGCCTTGCTTGGGCCAGCACTTCCATTTGCAGAATGTAAAGTGGGTCCTGTTCATAAAACCTCAGGTTTACTTTATTTTGCAATAGGAATGTTTCCTGGTTTTCACTCATTTATAAGGCTCGTAATTCTCTCCCCTCTCCCTTTTTTCCCTCCACCTCTCCTCACTCTGCCTCCTCACGCAGCTGTTTGGTGTGGTGCTCACAGCCCAGTGCTGTGCAGATGGCTTGCACAGTGGGGTTCTGCAGAAATTCAGCTGTTATTCCCTGGATATCGACACTGATTCCCTACTGTAGCCTTGTTCTTCCTTTAAAAAGAAATCTAAACCCATATTCTTAACTTGAAAATCTCTGGTAATAATTGTAGTAAATGTATATAAATCAGTTATTCTTTGGTGAACTTTTCATTCTAAAGCCTAGATGAACTAGATTGAATTTCTGAGTCTGGAGATAGAAAATGAGCTTTGCTTGGGAGCTGTGGTTGCCTCTTGAGCTGCTGTGGGTGCCTGACCTGGGCATTTGAGCTGCTGCTGAGGACTGGTATGTGTCCGCGCTGCACCAGAATGAAAGGAAACCAGCCCCATTGCAAAATAATTAGAAATCCTTTCCTTCAAAAATTACTTCGGTGATTGTTTTTAAAGTTGTCTGTTACAGCTGTCTTCCATTATTGCAGCCTAGGCAATATGTAATAGTTAACAATTTTTGAATGCAACAATAGAAGATGGCAAATTATTTTATAGACTATGGATTGTGTGAATTTAGAAAGTTAGGGAAGCACTAGATCTTCTAGTCGACAATAAAAATAATCCAGCATTTACTTTTAGCACCTAATGAACAGTTTAGATATCAGGCATATTTCCACTCGTTACCTACTCTATTAAAGCTGTAATAATTTAAAATAATGAAATTGATAAAAGTTGACTTTCAGTGGTTTAAGTCTTGAGTAAATGATCACTTCCCACCCGCTCCCAACCCAAGATAAAAAAGGATGGCCAGAATGTCACCCTACTTAGATTTCAGAAATTCGTATTCTCTGAGTTACAATTTCTTTTTCCTTTTTTCTTTTCTTCGTTGGAGGGAAATTCAGGTGCCCTGTGCATCACTCAGTAGCTTGTGTTAGCAGGAGCACAGCCTGGCGAATCACACGTATAATCCTAAACTCTTTCTCCTGTTTTCGATTAGCATCTATGGGTCTTGCAGATATGATGTCTCCTGGTGAATCCAAACTGCCCCTGCCTCTCAAAGCAGACGGTAAAGAAGAAGGCACTGCCCAGCCGGAGAGCAAGTCGAAGGTACTCCTCTCTCGTCTGCACGCGGTGTGGGGCCTGCCTCGCTGAAGCTGCCATGTGGCTCTCTCCTCCCTTTTTTGCATTTGGTTTCTTCTCTGCATGCTTCCATCGTGTGCGACATGTTTGCAGTCTTCTTCCCCCACCCCCTTCATGGTGTGGATCTGAAAGTTACTAGTTCTTAAGGCATTTAACTCGTGGCTGGGGGAGAGGGGCGGAGGGACAGGACCCACTCAGCGAAATGCTTTGGGGGTGGGGAGAAGGAAGGGATCTTGCCTGGTTTTGATACTTGCAGCCATTTTCTCTGCCTTCAGTTTATAGCTTCCTGTTTTGGCCGCCCAGCAACAGCAACATACTTACTATTTTGCTTTCCTGCCTTATTTGATAAATAAGGTGAACAGCTTTTTTTTTTTTTCCTTTCTTTCTTTCATAAGCGGTAACCCATGCTTAGCATTCCATGTAAGCTTGAAGTAAGCATGGTGACTTAGTGGCCGTATCCAGCATCCAGCAAACTTACCAAGTTATACTAATTAAGAATGTTGTTTTAATACCTTTATGTGTGTGTGTGTTTGTGTGTTTGTACATGTCTTTATATATATCTATTATATATAAAAATTAGTCTGTTAAACTGGATGTGCTTTTTGTTATTTTAAATAAAGTTTGCCCTACCTTTGTCATTTTTTTTTTTTTATTCCTCTACCACAGGATAGCTACAGCTCTCAGGGTATTTCTCAGCCCCCAACCCCCGGCAACCTGCCAGTCCCTTCCCCAATGTCCCCCAGCTCTGCTAGCATCTCCTCATTTCATGGAGATGAGAGTGATAGCATTAGCAGCCCAGGCTGGCCAAAGACTCCATCAAGCCCTGTAAGTGGCTCTGGTTTTTTGTGTTTTTTGTTTTTTGGGGTTTTTTGATAATTAATTCTACTTTAATGCTTGCTTATTTGTTTTATAAGACCTTTTCTTCTTAATTTATCCGTGAAAGGTTTTTCTTTATAATTATACTAGTAACAAAATGAGTAAAGTTTGTATGCATCATATAAGTTGCTTTCTGGTAATGAAACCACTGATATAAAGAAGCGTCTGTATACAAAGCATGCGATTGTGTTTCTGGGTCCAAACTCCTTCACTCAGTGATTTTTGTTTAAATGTCTAATCCATTGTGCACTTATAGAAGATCTTTCAAAGGAGTTAACTTCTCCATTTACATGGGGACTAATAGCAGCCGTGGAGTAAATGACAAGTTTGGCCTTTGGCCTAAATCTTTCATGGGCTGTTGTATCTGAAACATCTTATTTCAAATCTTGAAAATGTAAATATTACATTGGACATGGTTTAGCATATTATCAGCCTGCTTGGTTTCAATCTTCTTGTCAGAAATTAACAGAAAAGTTGTAGAAATAAATGTTAGTGCATGTGAATATTTTGAACGCTACTTTTAAATTAATATGTGGCTACGTTAGAATCAGCTGAGATAGAAAAATTATATCCTGCACAAGCCTGCTGATAATCTTGAAATTAAGTGTTGATTTCCTTATGATATACAAAAAACAAAAGTGGTAATGTACATGTAAGGGAATTTTTCTAGCCTTAATATTCTGTCTGTAGAGCTAGGGCTTTTTTTTTTCCTACTAAAGAAATTAATTCTGTGCCATTAAAAAAGAAGAAGAATGGCACTGTAGTAACCTTTATTTTACATTCATACAGGGAATCAAAAGATCTTTAAAAAAAAAAAGAAAAACTTAACATGCAATTACTTGCCAAGAAGGCTTAATTAATACGCTAATTTTTGTAAGACGGTGTATTGAAGAGCACAGCCCAGGAAAAGCAAGTTGGAGGGAAGAAGACTCTAACTGCAAAATCTGGCAATCTAGTCAAAACCCCAAAAGGAAGCTGCTATTAATTATCCATTCGCTGGTTTAAACAGACAGAGCTGAAGGTCTGAAGACTTGGTGGTTCCAGTAAATGTTTGTAAAATTCACGTGGAGCTCTCGTATAACCAGCATTTTCCTTTTCAGAGGAAGAAAGGGCAATACTCGCCCGTTACCTTCTCAGTAGACGTATGTTTCACTTTTTGAACAACTGAGATGCAATGAAAAATGCTTCTAGTGCCGGTTAAGCAGAACTAATCGGAAGGGAGAATGCAGCTCCTTAATTTTGATGTCTTTGTGTTATTTGCTTTGAGTCTCAGAAGGCAGCCAACATTGTGGGGTTTTTTCCCATAATCTACTTTGGGTTTTTGCTTTATTTTAATCATAGGAAAAGCATTTTTGAATCAGTAATACCCCCGAGTTAACAGGTAGAACCCCAGTTGTAACTTTTCAAAAAGATGTATTTATTGGCTAGGAGGGAAGAATTTCAGAGGTTGAAAATATATTTTAAAGCCTTAAGATAATAATTAAGAATAATAATTTGTTAGTAACAAAGACTGCTAATAGACCATATTATATTTTTAAAATTCCCAAACTATAAAAAGAATGACTGAGATATTTATTATATTTTAAGTTACTAGTCACATTATGCCTAATCAACGAGTCCCGTAGGCAACTATTATCAAAACCCTACTTTCTACTTAAATACGAGAAAAAAGAAAACAATTGTTGATTTCATTTTCCAGCTGTAACATAATTATACTTGAAATTGCATATAACTTTTCTCTTTTTTCCTAAGTATATCCACATACATTATCTCTTCCTTACCATAACCATCATGTATAAAAATTTACAAACAAACTTCTGGCTCCAGCTGAACAAAAGGAGATGTGATTCAAGGTGGCAGAAGGTAGTAGAGGATTGCTTTGTATTGAGAAAACAGCCCCTCCCTTGCATGAGATGCTGTTTCAAGAAGGGAACTAAAGGAGATTATTATGAAGGACTTCAGATTATCTCTGCTATCAAATCACTGAGGAGTATTTAACTTCTCTTTCTGAGATATAACTTTAATTTGTACTTAAAATTGCTCCTAACAGTATCCCTAATAAAGCCTGTCTAATAGTAGCCTGAAATGGACTAAAAACAAAGATGTTGTATGCTTTGACAGTGTGCCGTGGACCAACATTGTTTTGTTACAAAACATTCTAAAATAAAAATAAACATTTGCACATACACATGCGTATACACATATTACCAGGCATATGGTAAAGACTGCTGAAATGTAAATCTGCCTCAAAGACTTGAGGAAAAGTGTGCTTATAGACTTAATTAAGTTATATGCAAGTAAAACATTTGTGGCACCATAATAATGTCTTGCTGTAATTTTTCAGTAATCTCCATTTCTTTTGCTTACCTCCACGACAGTTTCTTGCAGTGGGGTACTGTTTTTACAACACTGAAGCAATACAAGATGGTCCTATTGGCCTGGAAAAGTTAACTGTCTTTCTGCAGCGCTAGTTTTTTTGCCCATTGTCAGTGGGTAGAATGTAAATGACATTTATCCAAAGGTCACATCATAGCTAATGTCTATGAATAAAAGAAGTATATGTTGAGTCTGATCAGTGATCAAGTATATAGTCTTTATTTCCTAAGGCTTTTGTTCCTTTTAACGTCCTTTCTCTCTGTTCGGACACCCAAATACTAGCTTTGGGCATGGGCTAGCTACTGAGCCGCCCTCAAGGCTGGGGGTGGAGATGTTACATGCCTACCCATCCCTTCCCAGCCTTCAGTCTTGCTAGATTGTGTCCACATTCACTTTGCACCTCGCTCACTGAAAACCTGTTTATAGGATATTTTAATCAGCTGTTAATTCTTACTTGGATGGTGCCAGACTTTTCAAACCTTTTTCATTCGAGTGTTTGCTCAGAGACAAGTATGTACCGAGTACTTTCAGTGTGTGATCACTGTTGGTGATTCAAAAAAGCACAGACCAGCCTTGTGAACTTAAGGTTTCATCAGGAGGGCGGAGGGAGGACGAAACGTCCATCTCTGTGCACGTGAGGCCAGGTGCCACCAAGGACAGACCAAGCCTATGAGGATCACTCAGGCCAGGAAGCCGGCGTCCGGGAGGCCTTTGCTAGGACCTCGCTCATAAACTGAGGCCCAGCCACTGTCTTTTCCTACAGAGGCATTTTCCTACCTTTTGGCACCTTAAAAAATGCGTTTCTGAAGATCAAAAAAGTATGAAAAATAAAACAGTTCTATTAAAAACTATTATCTTCATTAAGGTTTTGTAATTCTACAAGAACAAATTGAGATATGTGGAAATTAATTAAACTTAAGTTCATTTAACAAAGAAAGGTAAGAAAAGTTAAAATACGGATATTCAGACTAAGTAAATCATTCCTTTAGGCCCATTTCAGGTTACGAGAATCCACTCCTTTCTAATAGAGACAAACACTTCAGAGTCTCATTGCTTGGGTGCTGATTAACTGCTCTCCCGGAACCTTTCCCCAGTCTGGGTTCAGAGAGGACCAGGCCAGAAGTGGCAGTTGGATCTTGTAGTCAGGATGTTGATAGAGTCACTCAGAGTGATTATAAATTGAAATGATTGCTTTTGTATTTCTTATCCTTAAATTGAATCTCAAACTTTTACCTCTCAATTTTTCATAAATGAAATGCAAGGGAGAGGTTCATGGTGGTGGTGGTTTAAATTGATTTTAGGTGATAATGCTTTTTTCTTCTGGTTCTTATTTCAAATTTTCATTTTTTCGAAAAGATTGGACCCACTTTTTTCAGTGTACCTCCCCCCCCCAAAAAAAATCAGTACTAGGATTTAGAAACCTCCCGTTAATAACTACCTCATTAATGATGCCAAAGCTTCTGAAATGTTCCCAGTATGAGAATGTGGTGTAAAATGTGTTAGAACAGTTTCTTTTCCGGGCTAGATATTCCTTGAGTGTAAGAATATGGTAAATCAATTTTAAAAACTTACTTGGATATGGAGTACGTTCCATATTCTGGTACATGCATGGTGTACAGACATACAGGAATATGTACACACACTTCTAAGTTCTCATCTAAAATAATTTTTAAGTGACTTTCTCTTTAGCTTCAGCATCAAGATAAATTCTAAAAGATTACACTGTTTTTATATCCTACCACTACATTTTTTTATTTACCTCAACTGTATGACCCATTTATATGTATTTGATGTAAAGATTTTATGCCTCAATAACCCTAAAGCTGAAGGCTTAAAATTTTAGCAAAAATAGGTCGGGAAAATTATGTTAATTGGAGGGAAATCTGCCACTCA